TGAACGCTGGAAGGGCAGAGCAGAGAGTCAGAGACTGATAATTCTTTCTCTGGGAACAGATGCAGCATCAATCCGACCTAGGTGACTATAATGCTTTTTTTTAAAAAAAAAAAAAACATACTTCTCTTTTAAACCCAAGTTCTGATATACAAATATTACCATTCCTTTACCAAGAGGATGGCCCCGATCCAAAAGACTAACACTATTTCTGCTTTACTAATTTTTTTTTTATAAAGCTTCCCTTTAAAGTACGTCTGTCCCCAATCTGTGAAACTGGCAGTGTGAATGCAATGAGGGAACCTAGAAGTGCTGAGTTTACATGAATAACTCAAGAGCCCAACAAAAAATGCACATTACTACCTCAATTCTCAAGTCGTGACTGTGTCCTCCATCCTTCTGAGTTTACTATTGGTCCACAGCCACGATGGGAGTCCTCCGTGAGTAAATGAAGGGTGTAAGAGGCAGGAGGAAGTATGCCAGAGCTTGACCTCAATAGCTAATTTTTGCAATTGCATACAAGGTGCCATACTTCTTAGCATTCCAAGAGTTAAAAAATAAATAAATCATGAAAATAGGTTGTTTACCACCACTATCTACAATTATCTGTGCTTAATTAGGATGTATGCACAGCAGGGGATCATTAGCCAAAAGCTGCCTTGATAAAAGTTTCAACATACATAACAACTTAATAGACACAGTTGTTGCTTTCATCCTGTCCATTGATACGCCTTTATTTCTCACAATCATAGATTACACTTTTAGGAAGTTTAATAACTTCCATGACTTGCAGTATACTGTCCACATAATTAATACAAAGGGTTGGCGATACCGAGAGTCATAGAAAATGTAAGATCTAGAGTGTTATTAAATAGATGTAAACTAAATTTAACAATTTATATACTCTTGAACATATTCCTGTAGTCTACAATAAAATATTACCTGGCGATCTGGCTGTCAGGGCAGGGCTGTGGAACGGACAGGTAGGCCTAGTGGCAGGGTAAGGCACTGGCTGACGATAACCACCACCAACAGACCGAAGTCCCTCAGGGCGCGGAGTCTAAGTCCCAGGCTGCCCTTCACCAGGGCCCCTGATGGTGGGGATGGACTTGACGCAGCCAGGAACCAGGTCGCGGCCCCCGAGACACCCCGGCTGCGGTAATGGCCGCCGCCAATGGCGTGTAGCTGGTGAGAATGACAATAGCGTAGTCAGGCAAGCCGAGTCGACAACAACAGGACAAAACAGTACAGAACAGTAGACAGAGAATCACAGGTCACGGACCGGGTTCAGCAACGGAAGGTCAGATCGAAGGAAAACACAGAGAATGGTCTTAGTCACAAGCCGAGTCAGAATACCAGAAGAGTCACGAGCATATACACAGAGCTGTAGCAAGACCAAGACACAAGACACAAGTGCAAAGAGCATGTGCAGATCCCAGGCTTATATGTACTCAGCCACACCCCTCTGGGGGATGGACCTCAGAGACCTGAAGGCATAAAAGCTTCCCACCATGCTCAGCAGAAATCCAAGATGGATGCCAGCACATGGAGTAACATAACCTCTGGGAAAAGGTAGGACCTTGACACTGGCAATGAAGGTTCTTGTGCGGACACTTTACATTGCAGTGTGACAACACGTTATCACTAAATTAAAACAAAAGTGTTGCACTACCCTACTAATTGCACAAACCCAATTAACTGAAATAAATGAACAACAGATCTACACACCCCAAAGAACAGCTATCATTCAATCATCATCAACAGCAGTAAACTTACAGCGACAAAATATAAATACCCCACTCAAATTTATTAGGCTGTGATGCAAATAAATATTTGCATCATACCCACATGACTTCCTTTTTTCCTGAGGAAGTCACCTGGTGGTGACGCAACGTGGTGGAACAGAGTCCGGTGGCATCATTTCTGGTCTGGACCGAAGCACGGTATGTGTGCTTCTCTGCAATACTGATATGGTTTTTTAGAGTCTGTACACTCGCTTGCTATTGTAAGTGCATTTGCATATGTGAAGTTTTTATGCAATAAATTACACTGTTCAACAGGTAAAAAGTTTTGGGCATAAAATTAGCTAATCTTACATAATTTTGGGGTGCTGAAAACGAAAATTACCCTAAAAAATGTTGATTGGCTCTAGTTTCCATGATATATTCACCCATCTAATGACGTAAGCCATTCAAAATTATGATGCAACTTCAGCTGCATATTGCGCAATTGATACTGGTGACCAATAGAAAATTGCATGTATACTGAGATGATGCAATATTAGCCTTTAATTGCATCACTTCACTGCATAAAAGCTGCAGTATCTGTAGCTGATTGTAGTTCGACAGCGTCTTTACATTTCGTTTTATGCTTATATAGGCTACTCAGTAATGCCTCGAACTTGTGTGAATAAAGCAGATAATTTCTGCTATATCTGCGGTGAAATAACTTTTATCTCACAAAAAAGGAGGATAACAGGAATGATTAGCACTTGTAGACAGCAATAAGATCTTATTACCTCCATTACACATCAAGTTGGGATTAATGAAAAACTTTGTTAAGGCAATGGACAAGAATAAAGCAGGTTTCAAGTACCTGATTAGCAAATTTCCAGCACTTAGTGCTGCAAAAATAAATGAAGGAGTCTTTGTTGGGCCACAGATTCGTAAACTTATTCATGATGATGAGTTTCTTTCTCTGTTGCGTGGAAAGAAAAAGGCTGCCTGGACAGCATTTGTATCAGTGACATCAAATTTTCTTGGAAACAATAAAACACCAGACTACAAGATAGTGGTAGAAAAACTCATCCAGATTTACAGAAATCTGGGTTGCAACATGTCTCTAAAAATTCATTTTCTGTGGAGCAGTGAGTGATGAACACGGAGAGCGCTTCCATCAAGACATTGCAGCTATGGAAAGAAGATATCAAGGTAAATGGAGCCCATCAATGCTTGCTGACTATTGCTGGACAGTTGTAAGAGATAGCCCTTTCCTCGAATACAAGAGAAAAGCCAAGAGAAGCAAAACCGACACAAACTGAAGACAAAACTAGTGAGAATCCTAAGTATTAAAATGATTCAACTTAGCTTATGGCTATAATTTTTCTTGGTAATCTTATGCAATATATTATGCCATTTAGGCTTTGTTATGTAGTCAATATCACTTGCTTTATATTTGTGGAAAGACATCTATCTATATAATTATTGTGCATTATATAGTCATTACGCCTATAGTAGAAAACTTTCCGTTTACAGAAAAACTAGAGCCAATTGACAAATTTCATTGTTATATTTGAACTCAGAATGTGAAATTCATTAAGAAATGGATCCTTTTGTTTCCAAAACTGGCAAAAAATAAAAATTTGTTGAACAGTGTTATTGCACTATGAGAGGCGTTTCTCTCCTTTCTTAAGTGTACACCTCATCCTGGATCGCAGAAGTCATTAAAGGGGACAGATACTGCTCCATATCCTAATCACTCAGAGTGCATGGTGGATCAATTCATCTGGCGAGCAACCATGGCAAGGAGGCCATTTGAGTTGGGAGAGCATTTTGACCTATATTTATTGGTTAATGGCCAAGGTGAGGGCGCAACTCATATGGTGGAGGTGCACAAGGTGTATTGGATCCACTGGTGCTCACTGTGCTTTGGGAAAGTGTGGAACACAGGTGTTTCTCCATAATTGGACAATTATTTGACTTATATACACTGATCAGTTTACATTGCTATCAATTTTATTCACTTCATCTAATTTATCTTATATATATTTATTTTTTTATATATTGGCTATTAATGCACTAGCATTTTTTTTTGGGAGTTAGTGGGGCTGCCAGGTATTTATTATTATTATGGCTTATGTATTGTGGTTATATTTAGTACCTTGATTTTAATTAACACATATGTATTTATTTATTTCAGGTACTTATATAGCGCTGTCAATTTATGCAGTGCTTTACATATATATTGTACTTTCATATCAGTCCTTAACCCTCAAGAGGTTTACAATCTAAGGTTCCTAACTCACATTCATACACATACTAGGGACAATTTAGACAGGATCCAATTAACCTACCAGCATGTCTTTGGAGTGTGGGAGGAAACCGGAGTACCCGGATGAAACCCACGCAGGCACGGGAAGAACATGCAAACTCCAGGCAGGAGGTGCCGTGGCTGGGATTCGAACCAATGACCCTAGTACTGCCAGGCGGAAGTGCTAACCATTTAGCCACTGTGCTGCCCCATATATAATTTATATTTGCTTCTTTATTTCTGTTTACATTTGTGGGGGGATTTGTAATATTGATTGCACTTCTTTGATTCACTCATATTGAATTTACATATTTATTTTTCTCATTTGGGTGGCGGATTTATATGTTCTCACTGTAAGTTTATTGCTTTTATTGATGATGGTTGAATGATAGCTGTTCCTTGGGGTGCGCAGATCTATTTATTTCAATTATTGGGTTTGTGTGATTAGTAGCACAACACTTTCTTTTAATTTTGGCTATTTATTTAGTGTGAAAATGTTTAGTGTTTGCTGCAGCCCTTTATCCCAGTCTACTAAGTGTGTTGCTGTGCTGTCATTCCATCACATGGGCTTTTGATGGAGACTACAAGTGGTCATACTGAGGCACATTGCACAGCCTTGGTCTACTGTTATCACCATCAGGAGGCCCACCCTGAAAGATGATATACAGTCTTCATTGCAGGGCAGCAGCACTGAGATGCAGCAAAGTAAAGACATGCATTTCTCCCAGCCATTTAATTGTCATTGTAATTGGACAGCTTGGTCTACATTAAAAAGACAATTGCCGGGACATAGTATAGTTGTCCTTTAAATCCAAACTGGCAGAGCTACAATAGCTGTAGGCGATGAAAGTTGCAACGCTGTTGAGTTCTAAGGCTTAATGGGTCCCATGCTGCAAATTCTCCTGGTGCCTTTGCATACTATTATGCAGCATATAGTAAGTAGGGGCTATTGGAAATATTGCAATGGCCCCTACCAGGGGAGGACTGACCATTTGAAAACTCGGGCACTGCCCGAGGGCCCGGGGTCAGTAGGGGACCCTATGAGATGCCCCTGGTACCTTTTTCATAGGCTTTTTTGAGTTTGGGCAAGGACACAGGGGCCCCATGATTCCCTATTGCCCGGGGGCCCCATGAGTTGTCAGTCCGCCCCTGGCCCCTACATACCAATAAAATTACATTGGTAGGCTGCTGATCTTAATCTACAAAACTTCAATTGCAGCCAGTATGATGAAGCCATCCCAATGTACCCATGATGTCACAGCTGTGACAAGGGCAATGGAAGCAGAGATGTACTCTTTATTAGGAATCTTTCTTTCTGATGTGAACAGAAGTAATACAAATGGTTGTCAGTCCTTTTTCTCTAGCACTCAAGTCAATCTGTACATCAGAGCAAAAGATTAATTATATTTATACATGCAAATGACAGGTTTATATATAATCACATTTGTGCCTGTGCCGGAAGAGTGTTGCTGGCAGCTGATAGGAGATACATAAGTGTATGTATATAGAAGAAAGCTATGATGAATGAGAGTCATTCTCCGAACAACAAACAGACTGTAAGCTTATTATTTCAAGTACATTCATAAAAAAATGTTTTTTTTTGGAGGCAGCAATCTATGTCCATGGATGTATTTATGCATTCACATTTACCTCTGATAATATAAGACAATGTTTATTTATTTATTACAGGTACTTATATAACGCCATCAATTTATGCAGCACTTTACATATATATTGTACATTTGCGTCAGTCCCTGTCCTCAAGGAGCTTACCATCAAAGGTATATTGTTTATATATTTTAGACAGTTGTGTCAGTCTGTTATAAAGACAGTTGGTAAAACTATCCGGGATTCATTATCAGCTTTTTTAAAGCAAACCTGTACTACCTTTGGGATAGTGCAACATAAATATGCTGGTTGCCTGGATGCCATGATGATCCACTAGCTTTGAGGCTCCATTCACCTTTTGTAGCTTGAAGCTCGAAGCTCAAAAAAAGCTCAAACTTAAAAAGTCAATTGTCCTTTATGGTGCCTGTTCGCTTGATCAGGTGTGTACAGGCACCACAGAGAACAATTGATTTTTTTAAGTTTGAGCTTTTTCGGAGCATCAAGCTTCAAGCTACAAAACGCTCAAGTGTTAATGCAGCCTAATGCTCTGATCAGGGGCGGACTGACAACTCATGGGGCCCCCGGGCAATATGGGATCATGGGGCCCCTGTGTCCTTGCCCATACCCAAAAAAGCCTATGAAAAAGCCAATGAAAGGTATCAGGGGCATCTCATGGGGCCCCCTACTGACCCCGGGCCCTCGGGCAGTGCCCTAGTGCTCGAATGGTCAGTCCACCCCTGGCTCTGATTCACCATAATGGAACACCTATGCAGATCAGGAGTTCTGACTTCACTCTGATTTCAGCTGTGTGTGCTTGCTCCAAATCAGTGACTTGGGTTATTGAAGGCAGATGTTTAGAAAGAAAGCTAAACTGCATTTTTAGAATGTGATAAGCTATGCCTTCATTACTCTCACACCATAGGTTTCCAAAAAGTGACCTTGTATCTTGTCCATACTAAGTAGGTTTGCCTACTTAAATTCCAGTGCAAGATTTGACTTTCTGAAATGTGACTTATATACAGATTATCAGTTACAACCCTCCCATCCCCATGTGACAGAGGTCAGAGCTGGAAATCTTCAGCATGGGGACTAGGCGGTGAATTGGGCAATCGAGCACTGCATAATTTGCCAATGTAGTGCTACCCTTGTGAAGGCTGCTGTAAGACATGGGCCCCAAAAGGTTGCCATGACCTTGCAAGCCACCCAACACCTCTGATACCCTGGGTTCAGACATAATGCACACAGGAATTGGTTGCACAGACACTTAAATGCAGTAATGCAACTTCTCTACTAAGAATTATTCAGGCAGTAAACATTAAATAACATTTACGAGAATACCTCTTTAGGCAGTAAACAACTTCTTGAATTATGAACGCAGGTGAACTTGGCAGGGATACATGCATTATAAATCAAACAGGGTTTCAAAGATGGTCAATAAGGGGCCTCTGACTTCAGGTAGGAAAAGGGAAGAGGAAGACTTTATGGGTGCCAGCCTGATCTCTCAGAATCCTGATGCCACAGGTCCTAAAAAAAAAACACACTCCATATATTAAATGTATGAGCTATGCTATAAACAGTTTTGAACAGAGTCCCCCTTTAACATATATATAGGATAAGTGCAGAATCCTGGGATTAAGGAAAATCAGAGAGAGTCCTGGTGGAAGGGGTGTCCTGGGTCTTCAGCTAGCTCAATTGGGTTTGCTGTGGCAAAAAGCGACTAGCATTAACATATATTTTATGTAGATAATACCAGGTAAAGGTCTCAAGCTTGTAATCATGTATGAGATATAAAAGGTGTCTGCATGCAGTGTCCCTTAGTGAAGAGTGTACACAGTGTGGGCTTCTGCCCACTCACCAATCCTGATGATACTGTGGCTCAATGGACCTGGGGTATCCTGGAAAGCTCCCCCAGACCCTACACCCAGAGTGGGACGCTTGGCCTAGCACCCTGTGACACTGAGATCCTGCTGTGGATGAGATGGTGATGATGCTCACGTCTCAGCTCAGTCACGTCTGCTGACGGGAAACTGCAGACAGGTGCTCTGGTGGACAGTTTATAGGTCACATGCCAAAGATTCCCATCCTGGCCACACAGCCTGCTCAGCTCTTCACAGCAGCTGGGTCCATGCTTGCAGCTTCAGCCTATATTCCCAAGAAGAGGAGCATTCTCCGGAGTACGACTTATATATCCTCTCCCAACATTCACCTCTCCTCCTCCAGGCAGTTGGAACCTGTACTTCCCAGCAGCATTGATTCCTTGCAAATCTTTCACATCTGGCTACATGTGCCACAGTCCCCGGCTCTCGGTGGGATCCTCCTCTCTCTTGGTGCCACTGAACACAATGTCACTATTACAGCTGGACACCAGAGGGGGGGCATTAATTCAACAAAGCTATTATTATAAATATCTGGCGGTGGCACAGAGAAGTTGAACAGTACTGAGCTACACCTAGTATGGGCAAAGCACTCATTAATTCTATAAAAACCTCCTAGTAACTCACTGCCACGGGCTGGTGTTTGGCTGGTAGATCTGTGGACTGTATTCTGGAAGGAGGTTTATAGGCAAAACACTCACCGAATCGAAAAAGTCCCAGTAATAAACTGCAATGGGCTTCCCAGCTATTTCCATCCAATATTATTATACATATACAGCCCATATAAGAATAAAGGTTTTTAGTTAGTTATCTGGAACTGAATATATTTAGTCATACTTAGAGTATTCAGGGATTCCTTCATTAAAGGATTTATAATTCAATGATTCTGTGGGCATTTGCAAAACATCATTGATTTCTGAACATTCTGAAATTTAAATCTTGCAACTGGGATTTTCTATTAATTTCCTGAATCCATTTCACCATATAATGATAATAAATGTCTTAGTAGTAAGATTTGGTAGTAAGACTAAATAGAGCTTGGAAAGGCATAATGGCATAAATGATTTACAACAGGCTCCATTCATTTATAATCTCACTACCCCCATTCATAGGATGCTCTACGCGTTGTCAAAAGCCATACAATTCTTGCTTTGTGTATTCATTAATTTATCCATCCATCAATGCAAGATATGTATTTCCTTATTGCATAGTGCTACAGCCCATTAGGTTTCAGAATACGTTTTTTCTTTACAGAATGGAGTTCTTAGGCCAATTTCATTCTCTTTCCTTACATGGGTGGCCATGCTGATAGGTCTACTCCCATCCTATATAGAATAATGAAAACATGAAATCTCCACAGCTATATCAAAACAAAGCATAACTGCAAGATATGTGTTTTTTTTCTGTTCAAATTAAATTTAAACTAATTGCCCATGCAGGTGTTAAGGCAAATGGACCAGGTTTATACATTCATTAAAACAGATGTAGACATATAAAACAATCAAAAGTCAGCTTCCCAGAATGATTGCCTTTAGACTAAAACCTAACCTGAGACCAGGATGAGTCGCTCTAGAGGCCTGCAAGTCTAAAAGAAACAAACTGAAGACAGAAATGGAGGGAAAAAGGGGGATGGAGTGGGAGGGACAGAGAAAAAGGGAAATATTAAGGTTTAGCCCTACATACTCGCGTCCAAAGGTCGAAAAAAGGAAATTTGTAAAACGCTTGGGCTAGCGGGATGCAGGGATGGTAGAGCATAGGTGAGCCACAATTCTTATGTCTTGGGAAATTTAGATTGTGAGGGTGCTTGACAAATTCTCATTAACTAACATTAGGTTCATACTGTCTTTAAATTCTTCAAAAGAAACCAAGGGCTTTTTTTTCAGAAACAGGTAGATATGTGTGATTTTTAAATAAGGTGCAGCAAAGGGCATTGTTGTTAATGATCTGCATATGTTTCTTTGTATTGTGAAATAAACATGACTGGGGGAATTAGCAAAGAGTGGCACAGGCATAAAGCCTGTGCAACTCTTCTAAACTGGATATAGCACTACCCTGGAGGAGCCACTGGTAATCTTTGGTCCTCTGCTTTTCTTGATAAGGAGTATATACAAGTCACAAGATTAAGTCACTTGAGTGATCTCAAACAAATACGTCTTTATGGTGAGCTTCTGCCGGCTGTGTTGGGGCCCTTTTTTTATCATTGGCCAAAAAAATATTATAAAATATATATGCCGAAGCACAGAAGCGATCCACCCACTGGCTACCCCAGGCCCCATGCTTGGGCATATATCTTCTTTTTTTAACTTGTGGATGAAAAAATCTTATCCAGCAGCGCTGCACACACTGACGTATATTCTGAGAGCACACCCTGTTGCTGTCAGAGTTAACAGATTGGTGCTGCAGCTGAATGGCATTCCAGCAAAGAAAACAGCAATGGCTAACAGTAACAATAGAACAATAGAACCAATATGTAGAGCAGCACTAGTACAGGCACTCTGCTGCATATGAGAATCATCATGCAATTTAACATCTCAGCAACCTGGGAACGGGGTTTGGTACGCCTGACCTTAGCAGGGACCTCTACGCCATTTTCTAAGCTATCTGTCAGGGTGCCGTTGCTCACTATAGATTTGTATTCTGAGCCTAATTTTGTTGGTGAGGCTTCCC